GGAAAAAGCCCTGCAATTAAAAATATTGAAGTTGCCAACAATCCTATTGGAAGCAGAGTCAAAATAAAAATCTCAGTTCCCAAAATGATACAAAACAGTAAGGGTGAGGCATCCGTCTCATGGTGTAACTAAGTGATTACGAATGATTTGCATATATTTTATTAATGGCCTATCTAAAGTGAAGTGGGTGAAGGTGAGATTCATTCTTTAACAAAATCTCACTAATTAATATACATACAAATTAACGGGGATGGGGCTACCAAAATACAAGTACCCTTGTTAAATTGTGTTTCATTCCAAGCAATATGAAATTTGACACATCCTCTTTGAAGGAGAAATTCACCTCAAAGCCACTCCCATTATTTCATCGAAAATAAATTCAACTTTTTTCTTAGTTTGCTTCTTTCATTTTTGGTACCCTCTTTATTAACATTTTTTTAACTAAACATCATTGTTTTACTACCAGTCCCAAGTCCTTTTTGTACACAGTACGCATACTGGAAATTAATATTAAGAATTACTCTATCAACCATCATCTACTTCAGAGGTGCCTACTGAAACATTGTTCAAATGCAAAAGTTCAGTAACTTACTGCAAATTAGTAAATTAGACTCTACCAACAGAAAAAAACAATCGGCATAAATTGAAGTTCATCATAAATGTGAAATGAAATACTTATCTTATACAAAAAAAGTGTGGGGGGAATAAAAAAGATGTAGGGTTATTCATAGATTTTTTTTCCTTAAATCAATTGAATTTCACTAAATTAAGCAACTCTCAATTTGTAAGTAATGGACTCTCGTGCTATCACAATCAAAACCTAGAAAATTTAACCTACAAAGGAAAAAAACTCGCATCACCTTAATTAGAAATTATTTTAGACATCATGCCCTTACATAAAAATGTATATAAAACTCAAATGCACCTTAATTTTACTTCAATGGTTACATTCACCCCTGATAGTAAAGAGAAAATTTGGACAAAACATAAATGAAAATATGGAAAATTTCTCATGTCTATTTGTTATTAAATATTGAAAGAAAATTTATGATTGATGGTAAGAGTCCTAAAATCAAACAAAATTTTCATGATTCGAGTCATTCATATCTTCAAATAGGAAAACCATAGAAAACCCGTATGTATTGATAGTCTCATCCAACTGTTTCCCCACCTTAGTTCAGAAATAGCCTTGATAGTAACTACAAAAGAGGACTTTAAGAGGGAGTGTTCCAACCTCTCTAATGACGTCCGTTTCTCTTATTTTCCTCTTTAACTCGTATTCACAAAAACCACATCAAATAGCTTACGTGCCCGTTCCATTCCCCGACAAAGTAATTCACATCCTAATATGCCCAAACAGGAAGGAAAAAATGGAAGACAACCAGTGTATTTGCAAGCCTAAATACCGAACCTAATCACTGCAGCAAGGATTCATGAAAAATAACGAAGTAATTTGTATCCATATAGCACCAAGATCCTAATTGTCACATGCAGTTAACAGATGGAATGAATTAGTAAATAGAGAAACAGATTACAAGAATTTTATCCTCAAGTCAATCTCACCACCCACAACACAACCAAAGCACATATAAATTCCATTTTTCATTTGAACAAAACATTTAGAGAATTAAAACAATCTAATTGGAAGATTGAGTTACCTTTATTAAACCGTAAGCAACTGGAATCTGCTCTGCTCCAGAACTTTACTCCCTTCCCTGTTCTCCTCTCTGATTTTGCTTCTCAAGCCTCTCGATTCCTCACTAAATAAGAAAGCTTACCCTCTGTTTTCCATTTTCCTTTATGGCCTTTCTCCGGTTCTCCCTCTCAAGCTCCCTTTCAAACGTTGCCGTTTTGATGGTTAAGTTTGATGGACCCGGATAGGGCAAGTGGGGTGGTTGTATGGAGTTAAATGGGCTTGAGTGCGCGAGACCGGCCCCCTACATTACTTTCGGGTAATCAAAATTTCAATTATAATTTTATATTTTAATTATATATATATTTATAAATTATTATTTATAATAAAATGTAGTACTTATTTATAATTTATATTTTAAAGATTCACTTTTTTTTTTTTTATAAAAATATTACTTTTAAATTTTAAATTTTAAATTTTAATTTTTGAGAACTAAAAAGATTAAAAGAAAAAAAAAAAAAAAACCCCTTCAGTAAAAAATAATTATTCATTGTCCTAAATAAATATTTCAATGTTTTAGAGTCAAAAAGTGGGTTTGGAGCCTAGATCTTGACCTAAGTAATACAAGAAATGTGTATAATTTCTTTAACACATAATATTTAAGAATATATAGGTCAAACAATAAACTTATATACTTATAATATTTCTTTAACTTAAGATCTAATGTTGTCATATTTTATTAGGTTCATAACTTTAACATGTATTGAATTAGGACACTAATGAGATAGCTTTACAATAAATTAATGTAGTGGTAGATCTAAGTCCACTTTAATTTTTTGCTTTATTTTAATTAATTTTTAACTATAATTTTTAGTCGATTTTAACATTTATAAATAATAACGTAATATCCGGACCCGAAATTTGATCCGGAATTAATTTTAAGATTTTAAATATATAAAAAAAATTATTTTTAAATTAATTTATTTTAATTTTTGTTGAATTTATGGGGAAAAAATAGATTAACGATGAAATTGAAAACAAATTTAAGAAAAGTAGGTAAAAATTTGGGTTCGAATGATGTTTTTGAAAGAAAAATCGAAAACTAGGGGTCAGAGTGCAAATAAAAAAAATTTTGTCACGTAGATCGCCCAATCAGCAAACCCGACGAATTGAAGTACGCCGCGGGATAAGGCACGCTGATGTCGGTGCCACGTGGGCAATCTGCGAGCCCTGCGATCGAACGGCCCAGGATCGATCCCGCGTGCGTAGACGGCTCAAATTTGTTTCTCCTTTAAACGCAATCGGACGGTCGAGATCAAATCGCGATGAAGGATCCATATACATTTTTTTTCTTAAATGCGATCGGACGGTTGAGATCAAACGCGATGAATGGTTCAGATTCGTTTCCTCTCTAAGTGCAATTGAATGCTCGAGATCAAATGCGATAAACAACCTAAATTAAAGCGAGATAAATATAAATATTTTTGCATCATACAGAATTTGAAACCTAGCCGCCAGCCTCCTGTCAGAAAAGAAGAGCCAGTCGTCAGAGAAGGGAGCTGACCATCGCCGCACTAGAACCACCTTTGACTGCCGAAAAAAGATAAAGATTCTCTCACCCACTCAGAATTCGATTCCGAGCACCCCTGTAGCCATATCGGAGCAAAACAAACAGTGGGTGAGCCGAAAACCGTGGGCAAAGCCTGGCAACGCTGGTGTACACAAAACTTGCAACTTCCTTCGATGAACCCCTTCCCGTTTTTCACTTCGTATGATTTTTTTACCGTTGGGTTCACCGTTCTGTTTTCTACAGGTTGACCAAAGAAAAACTCCCAATCGCGAAGGTGAACCAGCAAAGCCGTCACACTCGAAAAACTCTACCACCAGTAGGTTTTCGTTTTTTTATTTTTTCTGCCAACCGAGTCCCCCTAACGTATTTTTTCGTAGGGATATATATATAGCTGATCGAAACCAGCCAAAACATGCTGAAAACGACCAGACTGAGGCAAATCGCCATCACGGGCGGTGATGTCGTTGTCGGAGCATGGCGGTGTCGCCGTGCTAGA